TAATTATAAGTCATATAGTTAAGTCTGATTGATTGTGTTACAAAAAATTTTTTAGATTTTGTTAGGTGTTTGTGAGCAAACAAATTTTGGTTTTACTTTATACAAATGAAAAGCTGCCTCATAACTTTTAACTTAGTATAATCCTTGTTTCAATAATTGTTTCTGCGTAGATGCCGTAAGTTCATTTCTGATGTTAACTGAATGTGTTCAGGTTCCATTGTCGCCTTGACACCATTTTACTTCGAAATTATCTGTTTTAAGTCGAGGGAAGTAAAGTTTGCATAGTAAAGAAATGTTTCGACTTCTGATATCAATATTTACAATTTTTTTCAACAATTTACTGTTCGTTGACGTTAACAGTTTATGGTGCTTTTTGTATTCAAATCTCAGCAAGTGAACTTTGAACGTTCGACTTTAGTGATCTTTTGTAATTTGAAGACAACTGTTCAGAAGTATATGTATTAAATTTTCATTTAGTTTTAATGAGACAAAAAAAAGAGAGATCGTATATGACTAGCACATTAAAAAAAAATCTAATATATTAAAAGAAAGAAGACAACAGAAAAAAACAAATTTGATAACTGTACAAATGACCAGTTTTTAAATTAATTTATCTGCTAAGGCTATTATCATTATAGCAATCTGAATTCTTCTGTTTCAGACAAACTGTAACTGAACAACGTCAAGTTAACAGCACTAAAAATAAGCAGTTAATTAATACTGTCTTAAATAAACATATCAGAACAGGAATAAACTGGTCTTTGTAGTCAAATTATATAAAGTATGCAAAAAAAGAATAAGGATAAAAGACAAGAAAAGGAAATGATAAACAAAACGAAAGAAAAACGGTTAGAAAGGATTAAGTTCTGTACAGCACAAACCATTGGCAGTGTAAATTACTGGACGATCGAGACAACAAAGACAGATATAAAACGTAAACAGAAATATTATAAAGTACCGAAAAAAAAAATCAAAATAAAGCTTAAGACAACACTGTACTAACGATTCTTCTTACTGGCAACGAGGTTTATTAAAAGCAAGCAAAAAAAAAAAAAAAAAAA